GCGGTTTCTGTCAAGAGCTCTCTCAGCCCCACCTCCCTCACAGGGTGTCTGTTGTGGGGAGGGGGTGGGAAAGGAGTTTGTAAGCCGCTCTGAGACACCTTTGGGTAGTGAAGGGCGGGGTATAAATCCAATCTCTTCTTCTTCTTCTTTTACAAGTATAGCCACAAATAAGACCCACCAAAGGAACCATCAACAATTTACAACTATTTATGATCAAAACTGTATATTACATTCATTAAAGTTCAGAGATGGGTTAGAGAAACCTAGGATTCCATTGAAGCTGTGCCTATGTTATTTTGAAAATTGGGCTCTGTTTGACCAGCCGCTGCTGAAGATCATTGAAACGTCTTGATTTATACCTGGGAGTGATGTATGGCTGTTAGTCTTTCTGCAGTGGTCATCTGCCGCAGTTACTTTCTGTTTGGAGTTCTAAGGAAACTATGTATGTATGGAATTACAGAGGAGCCTACTGTTGGTTTTGAACCATTGTTATATGAGCAATCTGTTGGATATATGTTCATACATTCTATTGGGTTATGACCACTAATGAATGTACTTTAATGAATGTAATATACAGTTTTGATCATATATAGTTGTGAATTGTTAATGGTCTTCCCTTGGTAGGTGTTATTTGTGGCTAAGATAGATTACCAGGCAGCCATATGCATTCACTCATTCCACCCCCCCCACCCCCCAATGCACCATAAATGATCAAACAAGGTGCCGCTATTTAACCATTCAGGTACACAGAATGGGCTAACCGACTTTCCCAGCATTTATAGAGAAGCTTACATTCATTTCCGATTTGGAATATGAATTAGCAAGCTAGACAGAGAATGCCTGTCAGGATATCCTTTAGATCACCTTAAGAGGACATCAAAAAGCTTTAAGAATTTTCTTTGGCAGGCAGTCAAATAAATTCCGTTCTCACTTCTGCCTTCCATTGCCTCCCTGGCGAACATCTGAGAAAGGTCTCACCTCTATCATATCATCCCCAACATGAGAATGATATTTTAGGCCATGTGAGATAGCTGGGATTTTTTTTCCCCTTGGTGTCTAGCGAATAAACGTAGAATTTTGATTCTGCTTGCTGCCTCGTCGTTTTCGAGGGGTGGCTTTCAGGGGAAATGAATTCCCACCTGATACTGTGTGCTGCAGTGTGAGCCGGTGAACCGCAGCCTTGACAGTCACTCAAACCACAATTATTTGGAAGACTCGTGCGTTGAAATTACAGTTTAACAAACCCGTGTAAGTACCCATCGTCTCTGCAGCTTATAAAACAAGGGGTGATTCTACATCTGGCCTCCACTCCACATTTCTCAACACTGAGGAAAAGGTGCAGCTCAAAACCACATTCAGATACCCCGGGCCAATGCCATACTGACTGCAAAGTCACCCCTGAAGGGTCGTAAATCTATGCAGAAGGTACCATCAAACCCGATGATCAAAGGAAGCGACAGCGGCGTGCAATGCAGAGGGGAATTTCTGTTCCAACGTGGGTTTGGTAAAACAACAGAGGGAGAAGCTAATGCAGAATTGCCCAAGATGATGTATCTTGGGCAATTATTTACGTTTAATGTATAAAAGGATAGGGCTGTGGTTGGTTCAGTATTTTAATTATGTTGCTAGCGATGAATGAGTATTATTGAAAAAAATAAAAAAATAAATTCTGGGGGGGGGGAAACAATGCCTTTGAGCCATGATTTTTATGCTATACTCACTGTCAGAGATGAAAGAGCCTGGAGCCATGGCTCAGTGGTAGAATATCTGCTTTGTATGCAGAAGTTCTCTGGTTGGATCCCTAGAATCTCCATTTGAAAAGATCAGATAGCAGGTGATATGAAAGACCTCCACCTGAGACGATTGGGGATAGACAGTGCGGGCCTTGATAGAACAGTGGTCTAATAAAGTTTGATATGTTCTCATTAAGGGGAGGGTCCACGATTCAATGACAGAACAACAGCTTTGCAAGCAGAAGGTTCTGTTTTCAATCCCTGGTATCCCTTCTTTAAAGGCTCAGGTAGGAGGTGATGTGAAAGGCCTCAGCCTGAGACCCTCTAGAACCATTGCCAATCAGAGCAGACAGTATTGACTTTGGTGGACCAACAGTCTGACTCAGTATAAGGCAGTTTCATGTGCTGTCCTTAAGAGGAGGGGCCATGGCTCAGTGGTTAGGGTTGCCAGCTCTGGGTATGGAAATACCTGGCGATTTTAGGGGTGGAGCCTGAGGAGGGCGGGGTTTGGGGAGGGGAGGGATTTCAATGGGGCACAATGCCATAGAGTCCACCTTTTGAAGTGGACATTTTCTCTGGGTGAGCTGATCTCTATCACCTGGATATCTCTTGTAATCCCAGGAGATCTCCAGCCACCACCTGGAGGCTGGAACCCTATCATAGGTAGAGCATCTGCTTTGCATGGAGAAGGTTCTAGGCTCAATCTCCACTAGTTTAAAGGATCAGGTCGCAGGTGGCATGGAAGACCTCAACCGGAGACCCTGTAGAATTGCTGCCAGTCAGAGAGGACAATGTCAACTTGGTTAGACCAATGGCCTGCCTGACTTGGTATAATGCCACTTCATGCGGTCATGTGCGATCTTAGATTAAACTGAGCCCCAGCAATATGTCAGCACCCTCCTAGTTTGGTGTAGTGGTTAAGTGTGCGGACTCTAATCTGGGAGAACCGGGTTTGATTCCCCACTCCTCCACTTGCACCTGCTGATGTGACCTTGGGTCAGTCACAAGCTCTGGCACAGCTGTTCCTTTTTTTTTTTACAATATAATTTATTAAGTTTTCGTAACATAATAACATGCGTATACAAAATGGTGTATTAAGTACATATAAAATTGTAAAATAGTCTTGTTTTGAGCTATGCAATAAAAGGTGAATAGTTAATTACATAGGTGAGTGCAAGAATAAACACAAGATACCATTATACACTGTCAGCTTTCAACCGTTAATACTGTAAAGTATAGTCAGTGTTGCAATAACCACATTTAAATCACAATTAGTACCATTACGATACTTGTTTTCCCTTCACCAGAGGTGGAAGGTATCTAATTCTTTAGGGATATCTTCGAATTGTTGTAAATATTCCAAGATAGGGAACCAGACCGCTATAAAAGAAGAATGGGCCGGATGGCACAGCTGTTCCTGAACGAGCAGTTTGTGTCAGAGTTCTCTCGGCCCCACCCACCTCACAGGGTGTCTGTTGTGGGGAGGGGAAGGGAAAGGAGTTTGTAAGCCGCTCTGAGACTCCCTTGGGTAGTGAAGGGCCACGGGGTATAAATCCAATCCTCCTCCTCCTCCTTCTTCTTCTTCTTCTTCTTCTTCTTCTTCTTCTTCTTCTTCTTCTTCTTAACAGTGCTCTCCCACATGACGACTTGGGTGATTTGAACAGAGAACTGGCCCCATTTGCTTCAACTGATTGTGTATCTGTACATTTTTTTTCTCAGAACCAGATTGTCCTCAGTTGCAAATGTCAATCGCTCTCTCTCTCTCTCTCGAACTCAGCTGAGGGAATTACTGTCTTTGCTTGACAGGTACGAGATTATGAATTTCAAGAAGATGGGGAAGGATTATTTCGACTATATCAACGTCGGCAGCTGGGACAACGGGGAACTGAAAATGGACGACGACGAGGTCTGGTCAAAGAAAAACACCATCATCCGCTCTGTCTGCAGCGACCCTTGCGAGAAAGGGGAGATCAAGGTAAAGATGTGGTTCATCGATTGCTATGCGAGTCATGTCCCGACCATCCAGCATCGGTAGGGGTCAGATCTTTGGAACTGGATGTCGGGGCTCTTAGCTGATGTGGAAGGAGAGCTTTAATTAAAAGTTCTGCCTGCTCCGGCTGCAAGCCGCAAGACCACTTGGGTGAAGAAATCCCCCCCCCATTGCCCTCAGCAATGTCTCAGTCTCTCTTTTTTTAAAATAACTTTTATCCAGGGTTGGAAACTGTGCATGCATCCATCAAGATAAATCTGGAAATGAGGCCAACGGCCACACGGTTTCTCTTCCCCCCCCCCCCCCAGTCATTTATATTTGAGCAACTAGTGCTCCATTAGCCTTGGAAAAAGGCAGCCCCGTTACAAAGGTTGCATTGCCAATATCAGGGCAGATCAGGACATCTCAAGAGAAAGCCAAGCTGAGCAGCCCTTAGGAACCGTTCCGCTCAGACCTGGCCATAGGCTTGCCTGCCCTGCCCTGTATTGGGATATTTGGTTAATAGAGCAGAGTTTGCCTAGCCATAGAAGCATGATCCTGAGAGTTGTAAATAGATCTCCCAAGAACTATATTGCAAAAAAAGTAAACTTATGGGGCGGGGGGCAAGCCTGTTCTGACCATTGCCAGCACTAGGTCTCATTTTGGTTTGGTACAGACCACCACCGTAAGAACATAAAAAGGTCCCTTCTGGAGTAGACCAGTTGTCCATCTAGTCCAGCAACCAGCCACTTCCTCTGGAGGTCCATCAACAGGGCATAGAGGCCAAGGCCTTTCTCTGATGTTGCCTCCTGGTTCTGGGATTCACAGGTTTGCTATTGCTGTCATGGATCCAACCATCCTCCGTGGAGCTTTCTTCCAGCATGAGCCTTCATCCAGTTTAAGTGGCTCCTCAGACTTCATCCAGTGACTGTGTACGGTTCCCTTAATGGCTACTAGCCGCAGGTGGACTACTCTTCCATGAATCTGACCAATCCCCTTTTGAGTTATCCATACATGTGACTGTCGCAGAATCCCTTGGCAGTGAATCTCACTGTCTAAGTACTCATTGATTAATGAACTTCTTCCTTTTGTCTGCCTTTCATCAATCAGTTTCATTAGATGCCCCTGGGTTCTAATGTTATGGGAGAGGGAGAGGAAGTGCACTCTGTCCACTTTCCCCCTCCAGGACAGAGGCATGCATGTGCATTTACAAGTTTGGTGTAGTGGTTAAGTGCGCAGACTCTAATCTGGGAGAACCGGGTTTAATTCCCCACTCCTCCACTTGCACCTGGCTGGATGACCTTGGGCAAGCCGTAGTTCTGATAAGAGCTGTCCTTGGAAAAGAGCAGTTTCTGTCAAGAGCTCTCTCAGCCCCACCTACCTCACAGGGTGTCTGTTGTGGGGAGGGGAAGGGAAAGGAGTTTGTAAGCCGCTCTGAGACACCTTTGGGTAGTGAAGGGTGGGGTATAAATCGAATCTCTTCTTCTTTATTTATATTCTGCTTTTCTCCCCATTTTGGACTCAAAGTGGCTTTCAGAACATCATTCCGTCCTCCTCCATTTTATCCTGACAACAGCCTTGTGAGATAGGCCAGGCTGAGTGTTTGTAACAGGCCCAAGGTCACTCAGCGAGCTTCTGTAACAGAAATGGGGTTTCAAACCTGGGTCACCCAGGGTGCTAGTCTACCATTCTGTCACCTATATCACACTAGGGGTGTGCATTCGGGTCTACCCGAGCTGAAAATATACCCGGAAAACACCTTATGGGTATTTTGGGGATATATTTCAGAATCTCAAATGTATCCAGGTTTTCTCAGGAAAACCAAAAAAAAAATATCCCCCCCAAAATCCCAGATATATTTGGGAATTACCGATAGATCTGAAAACACAGGAGAGGAAGGAGCAGATTGTTCCTACCTCTCAGCTGTTTGTCGGGCTTCTACTGCAATCCCTTTAAAGTTTAAAGGGACTGCAGAAGACAGCCCGAGGATCAGGATCAGCTGTGCCTGGGGGAAAGACTATTCCCGCTGGCTCTACTTGGGGCTGCAGATTGCTCCTCCTCTCAGCTGTTTGTCGGGTTTCTACTACAATCTCTTTAAAGTTTAAAGGGACTGCTGAAGACAGCCTGAGGATCAGGATCAGCTGTGCCTGGGGGAAAGACTATTCCCGCTGGCTCTGCTTGGGGCTGGCTTCTCGTGCAGCCTGCGCTGCAGGAGAAGCCGTCCCAGCCAGGATCTGCGTGCCTTGGAGAGCAATCTCCCTGAGGCATGCAGATCCTGAGTCTGGTCCCTAAGGCAGGGGGGGTTTAAACCACACTGCAGGAGAGGCTGTCCCAGCCAGGATCTGAGTGCCTTGGGGAGGAATCTTCCCACGGCATGCAGATCTTGGAGCTGCCTTCTCCTGTGGCACAGTTTAAACCAGGCTGCAGAAGAAGCCAAGCCCGCCCCAGGATCAGGCTGGCTTCTTTTTTAAATGTAGGGTGGGTTTTTTCCCTCGGGTCTATTAGACCCAAAAAATGTCCAGATTTCCCAAAAAAATCACAGATCGTAATACTGTACCAGTATTAGGATGTGGGGGTTGTTTTTTTGTTTTTTGTTGTTTTGAAATACCAACATTTCAGGTCCAATTGACCCAAACCGAAAAATACCGAATTTAAAAAATTGCACAACCTGATATCACACTGCCTCACTAGATGTGTTCCTAACAAGTTGAAGGGTAGTTCCAACTTGGCTTCCACTCTCCAAAGAGGTGGAGTCTTTCAAGATTTATGTCGGTCCTATTTCAGAAAATAAATGTGGACATACTTGGGTGCACTGCTTAGAATGAGCGTGAAAGTTTGGGTTGTAACTGGGGGCAGGCGGGACTGTGGCCGCTGTTCTAGGTGATGCCAGAGCTCAGGCTGCTTCGTCAGGAGTTGCTTCCCATGATTTAGGAGCAGAATAACTTCTGCTGTCCCCAACGTATTCTCCCTGGCTGGCAACAGCCTTTGTAAATAATAGCATGCAGACACTCTACAGGAACTAAAAAAAACCCTCCCCCCCCCCCATTGTCTATGATCTTGGTGGTGGAAAATACCCTCAAGTCACAGCTGACTTATGGAGACCCTGTAGGGCTTTCAAGGCCAGAGACATTCAGAGGTGGTTCACCATTGCCTGTCTCTGTGCAGCAACCCTGGGCTTTCTTGGAGGTTTCCCATCCAAGTACTGACTAGGGCCAATCCTGCTTAGCTTCCGAGATCCAATGAGATCAAGGCTACCCTGGACTTTCCTGGTCAGGGCAGTAACTAAGATGCCACACTGGAATTAATGTCAGCTTATTGCCTCAGAAGAATTATTTGGCTGACTGCATGGGAACTTGGAGTGACCCATGGACAACTTCAGTTGTTTACAAAGGTGAATGGATTCACAGTATCCATGAGACCAAGGTCCTTTTCGCACTAGACCTTAAATCCTGGTTCAACCCTGTCCCCGATCTTACACTACTGATGAGTTCACCCCTGTAATTATCTCGGGGTATTTTTTGTTTCTGCATTACACTGAGGTCACCCCGGTTTTGCCCCACACTTGCCCCGGGATAAATGGATCCTGCTATAACCGGGGTAAATGCAAGGGTATTGTGTCGCAGGTTGAACTCTGATAAAACCAGGGATGAGATCCAAGTGTGGAAAGGACCATAGCCTGCCAAATGTGAACGAATGTTTTAAAAAATAAAGGTGTCATATGAACTTTGCAAGTAAAGAATTGGTTCTGTACTGGTTCTAGTTGTTCTGTGTTAGTTGTCTGTTTAACTGGAGCAACTGTTTCTTAAAGATCTGTGCTGGAGGCCGCTTGGAAACCTTTCATTAAACTTTTAAAAAATGGGAATGAAAGCCAACATCACTTTTTTTTTGTCTGTGTGACCCCATGGCCCTCCTAGGTCATCCGCAAAGGAGAAGTCAGCTGCTGCTGGACTTGTACGCGATGTAAAGAGAATGAATATGTCTTCGACGAATACACCTGCAAGGCATGTGAGCTGGGATCCTGGCCCACCGAGGACCTCACAGGTAGGCTCATTCTCATCCTGATTCTAAATGACAGCATGTTAGTGACCTCTGAGATAGCCCTCAGTTTCCAATATGAGAGGCGCCGTGTTCAAGTCACACTCAAATCTTGGTATCTGGCGAGGAGAGCTTTGACTCTTGAGCTTTGACCTTAAAAAGGATATTATAGCTTTGGAAAAAGTGCAGAAAAGGGCAACTCGAATGATAAAAGGGTTGGAACACTTTCCCTATGAGAAAAGGTTAAGGCGCTTAGGGCTCTTTAGCTTGGAGAAACGACGACTGAGGGGTGACATGATTGAGGTTTATAAGATTATGCATGGGAAAGAGCAGGTAGAGAAAGAGGTACTTTTCTCCCTTTCTCACAATACAAGAACTCGTGGGCACTCCATGAAATTGCTGAGCGGTCGGGTTAGAATGGATAAAAGGAAGTACTTCACCCCCATCGGCATGTCATTGGGACCTGGTAATCCTAGCCCAGGGATAGGGTTTCCAGGTCCCCCCCATAGTCATCAGCATGTGATAGGGGAGGTAGGGTAGCCAGATCCTGGTTGGGAAACTCCTGGAGATTTGGAGGTTGAGCCTGGGGAGGACAGGGACACCTCAGTGGGGTACAGTGCCATAGAGTCCACCTTCCAAAGCATCCATTTTCTCCAGGGGAACTGATCTCTCTAGTCTGGAGATGAGCTGTAATTCTGGAAGATCCCCAGGTCCCACCGGGAGGCTGGCATCCCTCGATTGTCCAGTGCCCTTACAGAAGCAAACAAGCTCCACTGTCTGATTCA